TGTGTCGGGGACCACAGGCGGAGGTGGGGCTGTGACGTGGGAGGGCGGGGCGGCGGCAGGTGAGTTGCCAGGTCTCCCGGCTCCAATCACTCCTCCCTCTGGAGACACTGAGCATGGGGGGAAAGCCGGCTGGGGAGGAGGCCTACGGTGAGGACCCTGCGAGGGAGGGCATCTGGCTGGGCCACGGGCTGGCCTGGGGAGAGGCGCCGGGGGAGCTCATGGAAGCAGGCAGAGCCCGGGTCCTGGGAGGAGGATGGGGTTCAGTGGCCGGGCCGTTGCTAAGGAAACTTGGGGAGTGAAGCTGGGGGTTGGGGCTTTATTTAGCCCCTGGGACCAGGGGTTCAGGCCCAATGCTGGTCCCTGGGGCCAGGGCCCGGGGAAGGAAGGGAGCCTGGATGGAAGGAGGTAGGGTGTGGTCGTGAGCAGGGGCCGGGGCGCGGGCTGTGGAGCCTGCCGCTGCCAGGCGAAGCCCAGCCAGCAGAAGGCTGGGTCCCCGGGAGGTCAGCCTGGACCTGGGCTGAGGGGAGGGCGCTGGGGGTCTTCCCACGGGGCCGCTGAGCAGTGCTGGGGCCCCAGTGAGGAGTTGGGGCTCAGGGTGTTTATGGGGGGCTGAGCCTGTCTCTGAGTCTGTACTGGTACCTTGAAGAATAGAGGCAAGGCCTCCTGGGGTCCCCGTGAAGGGTAAAGCCTGAGGGGAGATGGAGCAAGAAGCTTGTGTCCAGAATCTGGGAGCTGGCCCAGGACCTGAGGGTTAGGGGTGGGGAGGTGTGAGGGAGCTGGACGGGCCACCTCGGGGATCCCTGGGAGCAATGGGGGCTGGGAGCCTGCCTGACAGTCCCTTGGGGCTGGGGGTCTGAGCCCTGTTCTGGAGGGAAGGGGACTCCCAGAGGGGAGCCCTGGGTCTCGGGGGGCTGGGAAGAGCAGAACTTCCTGGGAGACTTCCTGGAGCAGCTTTGCGTCAATCATTGATCTCATGCCCAAGAGCCGTGCAGGGACAGAGTCCAGCACCTGCAGAGCACGGACCCCACCTCTTCCCACACTGCCCAGCCCTCTGCCCTCCCTCCTTGGCGCCCACAGGGGACCCTGGTCCTGGCCCGCTTCCTCCTGTGTACTCAGGGAGAACCAGGAACAGGATGCAGCCACAATCTCAACCGCCGAGCTCAGGTGTCACCCTGCTTGGACTGCTTGCCCAGCGACTGGCAGTGGCCGGGAGACAGGCCCTTGGGGAGGGGTGTGCAGGGAGCTCCCGCCGCCCTCCCCAGGCCCTGCGGGAGTTGAGGCCTGTGGCTCTGGGGGCCAGCGTGGGGGTCTGAGGCAGCTGGGAGGGGCTGTGACCTCCCTGTGGGCTCCACCTGTGCCGCCTGGGAGAGGAGGGGACGGGATGGCAGCATGAGGGCCACTGGAAGAGTGGACACAGTCCACCTCCCCGGGGGGACAAAGGAGAGAGGGGCCAGGGTGGAGGCAAGAGTGGAGTTACTGTCCTGGAAATGACCTGTAAGGGCTCCCCCTCCCCCCAAGGCCACCTGGGGGTTCACGGTGAGCCTGGAGCCTACCTCCCCTGCCCTCCCATTCCCCTCCCGCCAGCCCGGCCCGTCCATTTCCCTTGGTGGGGACAGGAAGTGGGGACCATGTCCTCTGAGTGCCTCACTCTCCACACTGCTCCCCACTGCCCGCAGGGAAGCCAGTCAAACACGACCCTTCCTTCCGAGGCCCCATCAAGAGCAGGTGAGCCCTGGGAACTCGCTGGGGGCAGGGGCCTTGCCTCTGCCATGAACTTGCTGAAAAACTGGTGAGAAGCTTGTGCCAGGAGAGTGGGGCGCTGCCGTGGGGGGGCCGCAGCTCGGTGCCGGAGATGTTCCGCGCGCCCTTCGGGGAGCCAGCTGAGCAGGGCAGCTGTGTGTGTGCTGGTGGCTGCAGAGGAGGCCCGCCCAGGCCCAGGCCCGCTCAGCAGGCCCTTCCCGCAGGGGCTGCACCGATGTCATCTGCTGTGTCCTCTTCCTTCTCTTCCTCCTGGGCTACACTGCGCTGGGCGTCGTGGGTGAGTTTCCCGCTGCGCCGCGAGGGTGGAGGCTGGGGCAGTGACCAGGGAGAGGCGATTCCCATGCTGCTCCCCACGATGTCCCTGCCGCCCCTCCGGTGACTGTGTGTCTGTGTCCAGCGTGGGTGTATGGAGACCCCCGGCAAGTCCTCTACCCCAGGAACTCCACCGGGGCCTACTGCGGCATGGGGGCCAACAAGTGAGTACGCCAGCGGGAGGGGACGGGGGGAAGGGCCGGGGACCCCCCTCGGCCGCATTGAGCAGCCTCCCCTGCCGGCAGCTGGCTTATGAGGCCCCCCAATTGCGAGGCGATGTAGAGCCAGGGTCAGGGACACGGGCTTTAGACTTTGGAAGTGGCCTTGGGCTCCCCACCCGGGTCCTGGCCGTGTGGCCTTGCAAGGTGCTCGGCCTCATCTGAAACGCAGCGGTGACCCCCACAGCGGTGCTGTCCGTCCTGGTAGGCAGGAAGTGGCCCATCAACAGCCAAACCTCCGGCATTTACAGGGCGTTCACCTGTTCCAGGCTGGCGGGCACTGTTAGTTACCACGATGGGGCTGAGACTGTGAACAGTAAAGGGACTTGCTCAAGGTCATAAAGCTGGGTGGTGATTGGGCTCCAGAGTTCACGCTTTTAACCATTTGCGAGCATGGATTTGCTCAGCTCTCTGAACCACGTGTGGCGCTGGATGACCCTGGAGATCTTTCGGTCTCTCATACCTCCAGCTGGTCTGAGGCCAGGAGCTAGGTGTGCAGCCGGAGGCGAGACCCGGCCGTCCCTCCTGCCCCTACGCCTGGCCAGGCCCTGACACATGCACGTCCTCCCTCCTGCAGAGATAAACCCTATCTCCTGTACTTCAACATCTTCAGCTGTGCCCTGGCCACCAACATCATCTCGGTCGCTGAGCACGGCCTGCAGTGCCCCACGCCCCAGGTCAGAGCCTGGGACCTGCCTCTGCCCAGATCACCCCCAGGTCTGGAAAGAGCCCCACAGCACACCCTCTGCCCCAGGTGTGTGTGTCCTCCTGTCCAGAGGCCCTCTGGGTCGTGAATCAGGGTGAGCTCTCACTGACGGTCGGGGAGGTCTTCTACGCTGCAAACCGGACTGTCTGTCGGCCAGGGGTGCCCTGGGACATGGTGAGCGCTGCCCCAATGTCATCGCCGTCATCAAGGAGAGGCCGCATGGGTGGGGTGCAGGGGGAGTTGGGAAGATGACTGTGGTGGTAGCGCGGGGGAGGAGGGGCACTCCATCCTGCTGTGACTGGTGTCTGTCCCTCCCTCCACCCCCAGCCAGTACTCCAAAGCCTGGAACAAGACCTCTGCCCCAGCTTCCTCCTCCCCTCCACTTCAGGTGAGAGCACACGCCCCCTCGGTCAGGTAGCCTATACCTTTATTGCTCAAATGAGGAAGCCAGGCCAGACACGGTGAAGTCACAGGACAGCACAGTTCCCGGCACCTGGGCGCTGGGCGTGGCTAGCTGCAGGAAGTGCAGCTGCCCGTGGAGCTTCGTGCTGGTGGGTGGTTCAGAGGGTGCGTGGAAACATTTAGGTGCGTGCATAGAAGACAGACCAGACCAGAAGTCCACCCAAATGCTACAGGTGAATATGGCTGGCGGTGGGGTGGCAGGTGACTCATTTTAATTCTGTATGCTCTTCTTTCCAATAGTAAATCTTTCTTTAAACAACCAAATTATTTTTATGACTTTTTAATTGACTTTGAGAGAGAGAGGAAGGGGAGGGAGAAAGAGAGAAACATTAATGTGAGAGACATCCATCAGCTGCCTCCTGCATGCCCCCTATGGGGAATCGAGCCCAAAACCCAGGTATGTGTGCTGACCAGGAATCAAACCAGTGACCTTTCAGTATACTGGACGATACTCAACCAATCAAGCCACACTGGCCGGGGCAGTCAATGTTATTTTTTAAAGAAAAAATATTAATTATAGCATGAGAAAAGATACCCAGTTCTCACCGTAAATACAATAGGAAGTGCCTCAAGTGAATGCTCCAAAGTCAGAGCTGGACTTGAGTTCCAGCACTTTCCAGCTGTGTGGTCTTGGGCTAATTGCTCAACCTCTTGAGCCTTATTTGCTCTTGAGAATGTCAGTGCCAAAGCAAGTTTACCTGGCAAAGTGGTAAGGGTGGCGAAATGTTGTGGGCATGTAATCGGTGCCACAGGAGAAGGCACAGCCTGCAGGAGGCACGGGGAGGCAAGGATGGAGCTCAACAGGGAGGGGGCGCAGCAGGAGCGAGGGCTCCGGAGGCCCGCAGCCTGGCTGTGAGGTGAGCGGGGTCAGGGCCGAGCCTCGAGCCTCGGAGGAGCCTGAGCAGCAGCGTGGCTCGGGCCCTGGGATGACGCGGCCCACGCTGTGCCTGGCTCCCTGGCTGATGGACGCAAGGTGGGGAGTGGAGGTTTCCTAAGAGCCAGCCCGGAGCAAAGGGGGGTGTGAGGCGGCGGCGCCGGGACGGGGAGGACAGGACGTAGAGTGAAGGCAGCGTGGTCTGGGCTCTTTGCTCTGGAATCAGGAACCGCTCAGAGGGCGCGGACCGTCTCTCCTGCCCCCTGAGGGCTGTGGCTGAGGTGCGGCCAGAGACTTTCAAGGCAAAGCTCTGCGCCCGCCCCCCAGTAGCTGTTCTCTCTCTCCCTCCAGCTCTGGGGCGCTGTGTTCCATACCCCAATAGTACACAGTTCGAGTTCCCAGGGATCCCTGGCAACACCTCCATCAACCAGGGGATCAGGTGGGTACCGCCGTCTCTACAGCTCTGCCCCTCTGCCCTTCCAACCGCAGCCCGTCCGACTCTGTCTCTCCCTAGTGGTCTTCTGGACAGCCTCAATGCCCGCGACATCAGCGTCAAGATCTTTGAAGACTTAGCCCAGTCCTGGCACTGGATTCTTGTGTGAGTCACCAGATTCCCCGCCTTCTCCTTCCATTCTCCCTCCCCATCCGCACCCTCCAGCCCGGTGTCTGACGCTGAGTCTTTAGACTAGGGAGGAGGAGCCAGAGCTCAGAATGGACCCCAAGCCAACAGGATTTATAATAGAAAGGAGGTCTAATCTGAAGACTGTCGGGGTGTGAGGAAAGGCATTTGGGGGCCAGGGGTGACCCTCACCTCCTCCTCCTGCCTACAGAGCCCTGGGCGTGGCTCTGGTCCTGAGCCTGCTGTTTCTCCTGCTGCTTCGCCTGGTGGCCGGGCCCCTGGTGCTGGTCCTGATCCTCGGGGTGCTGGGGGTGCTGGCATATGGCATCTACCACTGCTGGAAGGAGTACCAGGTGCTGCGGGACCGGGATGCCTCCATCACCCAGCTGGGCTTCACCACCAACCTCAGCGCCTACCGCAGTGTTCAGGAGACCTGGCTGGCTGCCCGTGAGTACCCCGCCCCTCCAAGTGCCAACCGCCAAAGCGCCGCCCTGGCCCTGACCGCCTCTGCCCTGTCCACCCTCAGTGATCGTGCTGGCCGTGCTTGAAGGCCTCCTGCTGCTCATGCTCATCTTCCTGCGGCAGCGGATCCGCATCGCCATCGCCCTCCTGACGGAGGCCAGCAAGTCAGGGCCCCCCCAGAGGGGCGGGCAGAGGGCGGGCGGGCCGGCGGGCGGCTGGGCAGGCGCGGAGCCCTGCAGCAGAAGGGCAGAATAGTGCAGTGGTTAATACTGCAGTGACAGCCTTCCTGAGCCTCCGTTTACCCATCTGTGAGGTGCGGGGGAGAGCACACCTACCTTGTAGGGTGCCCTGAGGCTGAAGTGAGTGTGTCTCAGCATGAAGCGGCCCCTCCAGAAGGGCTGTCCTGGCAGTCACTGTTGCCATGGTGATGGTGGGTGGGTGGGACGGTGGGAACCCAGGCGGGTGGGGCAGCAGCAGCTTGCTCCCCACCAAGACCTACCTGCCAGGTTGGTCAACACACCACTTTGAGGACTCCCTGACCTTGCTTTCCCTGACGCCGCAGGGGGCTTTTCTCTGAGACTCACTTCCTCTAAGGGCCCCTGAGCCAGATTCATTGACTTCCGTTCCCTCAGGGAGCTCCTAGGCGTGCCTGCTGGCCACCTGCTCTGAGCGGCTTTTTTTGCCTGCTGGTGAACAGTGCTCACTCCTGCAGGGCTGTGGGACAGATGATGTCCACTATGTTCTACCCGCTGGTCACCTTTGTCCTCCTGCTCATCTGCATTGCCTACTGGGCCATGACTGCCCTGTATCCTTTGCCCACACAGCCAGCCCTCCTGGTGCCTGTGGGGCGGAGGGCAGAAAGGGCAGGACTTGCCCACTCAGTACCTTCGTGCTGGGAAGGCGCCCGTCCGCGCCCGTCCCTCTGGGCATGCACAGTGGCCCAGGGTCAGCGGGGAGAGCCAGCACAGGC